TCAGTGATTGTTCTGGTACGCTGCCTGCAAAAATCTTGCAATAAAATTTTAGCAAAGAGTAACCTTACATCCATAGTTAGTATCCGACTTAGTACGGGTTTTTATTACTAATTACGGGATAATTACTAATCTCGGGTTTAGCAAAAAGATTTAGAGGGATAGAATACAGTGGCATATTGTCATTATGTACGTTTATGGATTCACGATTTAAAGTGCAGGGATTTTCTGATAAAAATTACGCTAAAAAAACAAAAGAAAGAGTTAAGAAGCTGGTTACTTCTATAATTAAAGAACAAAAAGATTGTACTATTGAAAATCAACCAGTATAAGAAAAAGAAACCGATAAAGATGACTTAAGTCCATGGTGTATTTTTGATCAATTAATTGGACATGACTCATCTAAACGTACACTGTAGCGAGAGTCCATTACAATGGTGAAAAAACCATCGCCATGTATCTCCTAACTTAACCACTATATTCATAAAGTATTGTAAATGTGAACACATGTTCAAAATCAGGTTTAATTTTAAATAAAAGAAAAACACAATTAATAAGAAGTAAAGTAAAAAAACTTATGTTTTTAAATGTCAATTTAGACGATTCGTGATTTAATAATAACGTGTAATGTAAACGTAGGTACGATTTACTATTTGTATTGTTTAGTTTAGTTTTCAAGTTATAATAAAATGTTTTATTAGTTTCCTTCACTTCAATAAATATACAGATAAACGATAATAGCCATTATGTTTGTTTATGTAGGTAGTTTCTTACTTGAAACTACTATTAAAAAATCATAGTTACTTGTTTACGAAAATCGGTTTTGCGACGTCGATGACCCACCTCTATTCGTAAATACCTGTTTACCCTTTGATTCGGTGATTTGACCACGCGACACGATACGTTGGCAAATAGTTTTGTACGAAGCTTTTTTATTTATATGCAGTTTAATATTTTTATTGGAAATAAGGCATAATGTCACTTTAAAATAAGCTTATTTTGATGTTTAGATTTTTAATTCGGAAATCGTTTTTAAAATACCAAACATTAATAAATTTTATTTATATAAAACGATTTCCGAAGTATAAATCAAAATGTTATATTACACTTATTGTAAAGTAAAATTGACAATAACCCGTATATCTCGACTATCCACATTCTTTTCTTTTAACAGTTTTACAAGTTTCTGATGTAATACTTTATCAAACGCCTTTTGATAATCTATAAAGTAGACATAGAGACCCTGGTTCATATCTAGTCTTCTTTGCGCGAGAACGTTAATAGCAACCAGAGCCTTTCTCGTTCCTAGTCCTTCTCTTAATGCAAACTGGGTGTCATCTATATCTTCTATTTTTTTTTGTATAGTCTTCCATGTATTATTTTGAAAAATATCTAAGTGTGTGGCTTATTAAGGAAATTGTTCTATACTGGGAGCATTCTGTCTCATGTACAGATGTTGGTAGAGTTACAAACGTGAACAGCAACCAATCTTCGAGTATTACTCCTGTTGTATATCTTTTGTTGAGCAAATCTAAAAGTATATGCAGTATTTCTTCGTCAATGCATCTCATTAGCTCAATGGGTATCTGATCTGGGCCTATAAAAAGAATATAAATGCTTAAATCCCCAAAAAGCAATCTTAGTCAGTCCGGAAGCTCAGTGTAACCATTGCCTCATCATTTTTGATAATTTATAGCACAGCTGCCAAAATGAATGGAAGTAATAATTTCAAACAAGGCTCTAGAAGCCCAGAAAACAATGTAACATTACAAGACATTACTGCCGTGTTAACTCAAAAGGGCGTAACTGCAATTTTTATTAAAAACGAGTTTGATGTCCCACGCGTTAGTTAGTAATCTTTTCTACAAATCTACCTGAGTTTCGTAGCCATATCTGCAATAAAATCGGATATATACTGCTTAAATTAATAGCCGTATCTGAATTTTCTACTAAAACGTTAGCTTTAAAAGCCGCAACTGTAAATGTTAACACAAAAAGCCGTAACCAAAAAGTTTTCGGCAGATACGGCCTATTCACTTAACATTTCAAGATATTATTATGTTGGTACGAAAGTAGTAAACTGTCAATTTACTTTATTTCTAACCTTACTTTTTCGTGTTTTCATAGAATGTGTTTAGTTTGTTGTTCATAATAAATATGGGTAATAATTTTGCAGAAACAACTAGTAAGTATATTTTCTACTAATTTATATAAAAAGTTAAACAAATACAAATTGTTACCTTGTACCTATGTGTCAAAGTATATATTTTTGGTTCTGAAGTTATTGTAAATTGATTATCTCGAAAATAAGGTTATGTCACTTTGGTTTTCACACCAAATAGGTATTTATATTATGTATGTTCTATTAAAAACTATAAAAATAATTATTGCTTTGTCAAATTACTTGATGAAAAAATTTGTTTCAGCAGAATTTAGAGGACGAGGTAAAATGTTGGTGGACCTGGCTTTAAATTCCGCAGAAACAAATAACGAGCTGTCGAATATAGCTCAGTCAGATGTTGAATCTGACGTGTCTGATGACAGAGATAGAGACTACCTTCCTTCAACATCTTCCTCAAGTGAAGAATTTTGGGACACAGATAATAACGTTAGCGACCAAAATATACATATTATTAGCAATATCCTATTACAACCTGCTTCAACAACGAGCTCATCAGCTATTTCGGAATTAAATTTAAACAACTTATTGACAGATACGGAAGAACATCGTACTACCAATAATTATAACTATTTTAATAATTTAATTCACAGTATTATACAAAGCGCAATAGACAAATCAGAGAGCAAAAAATACACTAAAAAGGGACAGTTAAGAAAACGGAAAAAAATAGAAGTAAGTTTAAGTGAACGACGTTCAATAAAAATGCAAAAGTTAGTCAATAAACACAAAATATATGGAAGCTGTTTGGCTACTTGCAAGAAAAATTGCAGTAATAAAGTTTCAACTCTTCGACGGCAAGATATAAATAGGCAGTTTTGGAATCTTTCCTCCGAGGAACAGAAAGCTTTTTATTCAAGTTCCATTTTAAAGATTCCCAAAAAAAGATGCGCAACTAGAAATTCAGATAGTTCTCGGCGCTCTTTTACATTTATCTACCAGTTAAAAGATGAAGAAGGAATACCTCAAAATATTTGTAAAGTATTTTATCTGACAACTTTAGGACATCATGAAAAAAATGATAAGCCAGTTAGAACAGCTTTAAAGAGTTCCCAATTATCGCTTAAACCTAACACAGATAAACGAGGAGACAGCTTAAAAAAATTTGACAGAGATTTAATCATTAGTCATATACAGTCCTTTAATCCTACGACATCGCATTATAGACGAGCACATGCTCCGAACCGTTTATACTTGCCTAGCGACATAACTATAAAACTAATGTATGAATCATTTAAAGCAAAGTACAATATTCAATGTTCGTATTATTTATATCGTCAAATCGTTAGTGAGCTTAATATTTCATTTGCAAAGCTTGGAAACGAAGAGTGTTTTACTTGTGAAAAATACGAGATTCATAAAAAAGAAAGCTCACACGTGTTAGATGACGGTCTAGTTTGTCCTGAATGCGAAACATAAAAATCATCGAGAAAAATTTATAAAGGCCCGAGAGATGTACTACGCTGATTCCAGATCGTCGGGCGATTCTAGAGTTTATACAGCTGATCTGCAGAAGGTATGAATTTTATTTTGAATAATATCTGTTATATTTGACCTTACACAATTTTTTGTAGGTGATTATGCTCCCAAGATGCGATACTTTCAAAGAAATTATATTTACTCCTAGACTGATAGCCTTTAATGAGAGCTTTGTTCCAGTTGGTACTTCTAAAACTTCTACAGTTGCTGTTCTATGGCATGAAGCTATTTCTGGAAGAAAAAAGGCTGATATTGTTAGCACATTTTATGCATTTTTAAACAAAATTAGGGATTCCGAAGAAGTTGTTATTTGGCTGGATAATTGTTCCGGTCAGAACAAAAATTGGTGCTTGTACACATTTTTTGTGTATGCTGTAAGCTCATTAGAATTGAACATTAGGAAAATAACCCTAAGATATTTTGAGTCAGGTCATACATTTATGGCAGCTGACTCATTTCACCATAGAGTCGAGCAATCATTAAATCGAAAAGGTAAAGTTTATGACTTCGTTGATTTTGTAGATGCGGTTAAAACGTCAACACGTAATGTCGAAGTTATCGACATGGCTTTTAATGATTTTTACAACTGGAAAGACGAATCATCTCAATATAAAATAACAAGGTTGGTCCCTCGTCCGTACCTTCAACAAATGGTGGAAGTTCAGTTCATCAGAGGTTTCCATACATTTGGTTATAAAACTAGTTTTGAAGGAGAAATCATAAGTGCCAATTTTTTAAAGGCTAATATCCAAAAAAATGGCATTGCAAAACCACTCTCTATCTCTCAACCACGAGGTATTACCATGGAAAGAAAACAGAATATAATCACTAAAATTGGTCAAATAATGCCCCCAAATCGCATTGCATTTTGGAAAAATATTTTTGTCAGTGAAAATGTGGACACAATTGATGATTAATATAATATAATAACTAGTTCGGAGTAGAAAATTAAGTATTAATAATTAATATTTGTTTGACTGAGTATGATATTTTAGTTAGTCTGTATTATTGTTGTTTACTTTTTTAACTTTTCCTAATTATTAAGAATAACTTACGAAATTAATACATTAATATTGTAACGTTCATTTGTTTAATGCAATAAATATTTTCAAAAAATCATGTAGTTACGTTCTTAATTATATACCTCATGTTAAGTGAAAAAGGCGTATCTGTCAAAATCTGTCAAAAGTGTTGTTTTCCCAAGTTAATACTCTACCAAAATTTGTCACATGATAGTATAGACCTATTTGTTAACTTCTATATGGTACAAGTCACAACTTTTTAAAAAATCACGATTGCCTAATCAAAACCACTAAAACTGATTTTTCTCGCAAACTAGTTTAAAGCAGATACGCCCTTTTGAGTTAACACGGCAGATCAGCCTTAAAGTCTACACTCCTTAATAATTATTTTTAAGTTGTACTATAAACCAATATTATGGTTAATTTTAATTGTTTTAGATTTTAATGGTATGAATGTACTTATGAGTAAAAATTTTCCATGATGCAGAGATTGCGAAACACTGTAGTATTAATATTATCCTTAGCACCAATATATTACACTAAACCATATAAAATTCCAAAATTAAACTTTGATGAACCTTGTATAGCAAGTATAAAAAATTTGCCCGTTTGGCAGGTAAACAGTCTTAAGCCACTTTGGCAGAACGTACTTTCAATAATAAGAATCTACATCAAAAATTGTTTTGGAATATTTCCCGAGTTTCACATAAAAAACTCCTGTGTGGAGTGGGATAATGTAAGTCATGCGTTTGGTGGACGATCCAAACAGCTGATTTCTAGTACTCTCAAACCTCTTAGGCTGGGGTCTGTCAGTTTTAGTCCTCTTGGTTCATATACTCTCTCATTTTGTTCCGCTATGTACTTAGATACCTTCTTTAAACACTGAAAAGATATATTTATTGTTAAAAATAAAATATTTCAGGAATTTTAAAAATAATTTTATGACATTAATGTGAAATTCATACTGAGAGTGCAGTTTGGCGAGAGAGGCCAATGCTTTTTTAACGAAAATAAACGCAAATTGTCAATATCACAAAATAAAAGATAATAAAATACACAATCCATTACAAAATTTAAATAAATTGCAAATTGCATAATAAAACCATACGAACTAATAAATTTAAGGTTCTGCATGTGATACCCAAATATATATTATACAGTGTAGGTAAAATTTTAAGGTCGGTATGGTAAAATTTAACAGGATATCTAACGCAGATATAAAATCATATTTTCAACGAATTAGACAAAGATAACAATCATATTTCCCCTTCGTCTCCCCTCCTAAAATCCTTTTAACACTCATTGGCCATTGCCCATTAGTGAGACGATTAGTTCCGATCAGATATTCTCTGGTTCCGATCCTAATATACCTAAAAAACTAGAGGTGGGTCCTCTCGTTTTTTTAATTTTTATCGGAACCGTTTTCGTAAACTGTAACTAGTTGATTGTTTACCAGTATTTAAATTAGCGAGTACACAAACATATTAGCTATTATCGTTTATGTGTATAAGTATTGAAATAAAAGAACCTAACGAAGGATATATTTATTGTAACTTGAAAAATAAATTAAATAATACAAATGGTACTTAAATAGTTACATTTACATTACACATTATTAAATCGCGAATCGTCTAAATTGACATTTAAAAACATAAGTTTTTCCACTTTCCACCATAAGGAAAAGATTTTGTTACAATACTACAACATTTTATGAATATAGTGGTTAAGTTACGATATACATGGCGATGGTTTTTTCACCACGGTAATGGACAGTTCCAATCTCCGTTCGAAATTGTTTGTGGGTAATATATCATCAGACAATTACATGTCGACTTCTTTTATACCTCTCGATACAGGTGTATGTTTAGATGAGTCATGTCCAATTAATTCATCAAAAATACACCATGGACTTAAGTCATCTTTATCAGTTTCTTTTTCTTGGACTGATTGATTTTCAAGATTTACTAAACTTTTCGTTTCATCCGTTTTCCATAGTTAAAGAACCAGCTTTTAAAAAGTTTGCAGGGTGGATTCCTGGATATAAACCGCCAACAAGAAAAACTTTGTCAGGTTCATTACTTCAGGAATGTTATGTCAAAAGTGAGCAAATTATTAGATCGCAAGTTGTTAAAGAAGTAGAAAATATCTGTATTACTACTGACCTCTGGACATCTGGAGTAACTAAGAGTTACTTCGCATTAACAGGACAATATTTAACCGAAAATTTAGTATTCAAAACTTTTTTATTAGGCTGCTGCCATTTTTCTGGAAACCATCCAGAAAACAGCGATTACTGAAATTATTAATCAGTCGGGTCTAAAACGAAAAGTAAATTTTGCAGTAACTGATAATTCCTAAAATATGGTCAAAGCTATTAAATATGTTTTGTTTTATGATGATTGTGATTTATGATGATGATTAAATTTATTGGTGGGGGACGCACTTAAATGCTGTCGTGTACAAATAGATAAAATAAAAAGTCCTTTTTTCGACAATTCTGCAAAAAAACACATTTCAAAAAAGTACCTTATCTTCAGAAAGGCTTTTAAAGTGTTAATTACAACAGAACACAGTTCCCAAACGGCCAATCCAAGACGTGGAAACTAGGTAGAACTTCACCTATTACATGTTAAAAAGAATGACCGAGTTAGAAGAGGCAACCCGTTCCACATTGGTATTAAATAATACAGACTTAGACTTAAACCTAATCTAAATAAAGAACACTGGATTATTTGTTCTCAGCTTTCCCAAATCGTTTAAAGAAATAACAAGTACAATGAGTGACCAAAAATACTTGAATGCTAGTTCAGTGATTGTTATGGTACGCTGCCTGCAAGAATCTTGCAATAAAATTTTAGCAAACGGCATACTTACATCCATAGTATCCGACATAGTACAATTACTAATATCGGGTTTAGCAAAAAGATTTAGAGGGTCATTATGTACATCTATGGATTCACGATTTAAAGTGCAGAACAAAACAAAAAGTTAAGAAGCTGGTTACTTCTATAATTAACGAACAAGAAGATTGTACTATTGAAAATCAACCAGTACAAGAAAAAGAAACCAATAAATATGACTTAAGTCCATGGTGTATTTTTGATCAATTAATTGGAGATGACTCATCTACACGTACACCTGCATCGAGAGTCCATTACAACGGTGGAAAAACCATCGCCATGTATATCCTAACTTAACCACTATATTCATAAAGTATTGTAAATGTGAACACACGTAAAATCTGGTTTAATTTTAAATAAAAAAGAATACGGTTAACAAGAGGTAAAGTAGAAAAACTTATGTTTTTATGTCAATTTAGACTATTCGCGATTTAATAATAACGTGTAATGTAAATGTAAGTCCGATTTACTATTTGTATTGTTTAGTTTAGAACAGAATATTTAAAACAGAATATTTAAAAATTGGAGGAAATACCACAGATCTGAGGCTTGAAAACGCAGTCATAAAAGGCTGCAACCAGTATAAATATCTAGGAAGCATCATATCAGCAGATGGCAGAGTTAAGATAGATGTGCAAAACCGAATAACCCAAGGGAAAAAATGCATCCGAATACTGAATTCATTACTGTGGTCTAATAAAATAAAGATGCATACCAAACTTCGCGTATACAGAGCAATTGTAAAACCAATTACCACATATGGTGCCGAATGTTGGACGATGACAAAGAATGAACGAGATAAAGTAGACGTTGTGGAAATGGATTATCTTAGAAGGTCATGTCGAGTATCGAGAATGGAAAGAATCAGGAATGAGGAAATACGAAACCGTACAGGAATTAGAGATACTCTTTCAGATAGAATACAAGGAAGGCAATTACAATGGTATGGTCACGTGATGAGAATGGAGGAGGAGCGGTGGCCAAAGAAAGCCTTAATGTATGTTCCGCCAGAAAGAAGGAAAAGGGGAAGACCACCAAATTCCTGGAGAAGAGAAATTACAAAAACAATGCAATCTAGAGGCTTAGAAGAGGGAGATTGGGGAGATAGGAAAAGATGGAGGCTGAAATGCGGGAAGCGGCAATCGCCGTAGGACCCCCGTTATATGATGATGATGATTGTTTAGTTTATTTTTCAAGTTATAATAAATATATCATTAGGTAGTTTCTTTCACTTCAAAAGATATACACATAAACGATAATAGCCGTTATGTTTGTTTATGTAGGTACTATCTTACTTGAAACTACTTTTAAACAATCATAGTTACTTGTTTATGAAAATTAAAATTTTTAAATGCTTTTTATCATTCAAAAAAATTTAAATTTTTTTGGAATCCTGAGAAAACTAACAAATATTTTTGAAAAATTTAAATGCAGAATGAAAGATTACATTATTACCGAGGGCCGAAGGTCCCTTAGAATAAACAAAAAGTTTTTTTAATGAGATATTTGAAATTAAAAATCACACTAAATTTTGTTTTTTTTTTCATCCCTATAACTTATTAAAATAAACATTATAGAAGTTTTCAGGGACTTTCAGCTCTCGGTAATAATGTATTGTTTCATTCTGCGTTTAATTTTTTCAAAAATATTTATTAGTTTTCTCAGGATTCGAAAAAAATGAATGCATTTAAAAAACATTGGCCCGAAATTTTGCTCCTACGCTCTTAACGATAAACTAGCACGACCCACCTCTACTTCTCGTTACTCAATCTTTTGACCAGACAACTATCTAGACTAGACGTTGCCAAATAAATTAGTGTATGAATATTTTTTAATTTGGCGTTATTGTATGCATGTTTAATTGTTTATTATTTCATATTGGGAAATTATTTTGATGTTTAGATTTTTAGTTCGGAAATGGTACTTAAAATACGAAACATTAATAAATTTTATTTATATAAAACAATTTCCGAAATGGAAATCAAAATGTTATATTACAATTATTGTAAAGAAAACTTGTGGCATATTCCCAATAAAAAAAACAGTAACCTGCCATTTAAATCAATTTCGCACAAATTTGATTATCTTGAGCATTTTATCTTCTTGATAGAACATTGTTCAAATGCAAAAAAAGACAACAGGTCAAATAAAACCAATAAGTTTGGCAACGTTGAATTTCCCCTTTTTTAATATTTCCATTCGGCGATATAAAGGGCGTACCTAATATACCTCTCTCTTTTTAAACAGCTGTTTCCCACTCCATCTCACGTAAGGTCCATACCGACCATAAAATTTTTCCTACACTGTATATGGTCTTTCAGATAGATAGGATTTTGTCATTTTACGGAACTTAAGGAAAGAAGTTGCAAAGGGAGATAGTTGTATAATTTTTTTGCCGAATATAGTATAGATTTTTTTACTAACTCAGTTGACATGATCGGTAAATACACAACAAAGAATGAATTTCTGGTCGAGTAGTCATGATTAGGTCTTGCTGGAAAAACATATAGATGTTTATGAATTAAGCAAACCGTTTCTAACATATATAAAGAGGGAAGAGTTAAAATCCTGTGATTTTTGTAATTTAAAAATAACATCATATTGGGCAACTGTACTGGGACCCCAAAATGGAAGAAGATATCGAAGATGAGACTCAAACAAAGAAAAATATGTTATTTTGAAAGATGCTAAATTAATTTCCTTCAAAACAGATCTTATTGCATAGCAGGCTGAGGTTAGTTTCTGACTTAACAAATCGATATGAAGGAACCATTTAAGATTGCTATCTACAAAAATGCCAAGAAATGTGTGCGACAACATGCAGAAATTATCAAACAATAGATCTGATAATACTCAGTCCAGATTTAGCAAGTTTTGTTCAGTATCCAAATATTAAAAAAAAACATAATAATAATGTGGTACACTAACCTAATTAAATTCATTCATAATATCAATTAAATACAAAAAACACATACCTTTTCATAATGAGTTTCTTTACAAATATATATTAAATATGCAGTTAAACACGCTAAGCATCCTTCACAGTATGTGGTACAAGTAGCTTTTTCAGCTTCCGCAAAAAATGCATTCAGTCTATTAACAGTAGTCTCAAAGGCTTGCCTCTCCAACTAAAAATAAAAGACATTAATGAGATATACACATGATAATAGTATATAATAGATCTACATATGAAAATACTGTTACACATTTAACCATTATTACTTTCGTCTAACCTTTGGTTTCACATGACTGTTGACATGATCATTATAAGAGGTGATAACATCAACAACACTAACATGCTGATCAATTCATTTTAATGGAAGAATAACTGCCCAGAACATAATGTACTATGTATCCATGACACTGACATTTAATCTAGACAAGCAGGGCATAGTTTAATAAAAATCTGGTTACTCCTCAGTATCGAATCACTCTTTATAAGAAATCTTTTTATTTTATCTTTATAAAAAACAAGCATAACAACATTTGTTCACAATCACCATCACTATCTTAATTAAATAGATAATTATGGAGTCCAAGGAAATCTATAAACTACTAACTGATTAGAAATGTAAATTTATGTAACCTTTTTATAATTTTAACCTTTAAAAAACTAGATAATGAGTGAATAAGGTATTGCTAAGTTTTATATAAATAGATAAACATTTACACCTGAAAATGTGATAAGGCTTTTCGAAATACTAATATGAAAATATATTCGAAAATAAAGATTTTTATATCTACATTTTGAAAGATACTGATTCATGCACACTTAAGGGAAAAAATATTTAAACTGTTTTCTAATAAATTCAGAAGATATTGATTCATTCAAAAAATTGTATTTATGTATTTTAAATAAACATAATTATATTTTGAACTTGTGTATTTTCAAAATGTATCTAATATTATATAATAATAGTAAATCTGATATGGTATTAAACATCTAACATATCGACAAAAATTTACAACATGACCTAAATTTTGTAGTAAGTAGTTGGTGAATTTTTGAGTTTAGACTGATGTACCTTATGAAAAATGTGGAAATAGAGTACAAAGTACCATTTTGTGTACCTACAAAACTGTGTTAGAGCCAATGACGTAAAATTCGGTTTTTGTAGCAAAATATAATCATATGCACATGGATGACATGTTGAAGTTGGCTCTAAGAGTCTCATAAGAAGAGTTGTTTCATTTCAAATATAACTTATATTCCACTTAATATACAATTAAAAGGGGGAGAAAGACCAAAGATGAGATTTTTATGTGATATATGTTTTGAATTAAAGTTAAAATAGTCTAATGTTCAGCATCTACTGTTGCGATTCTTCCTATATTACTAGGTAGGTTATACTCACTACAGTATGAGTTATATACAATCAGAAGTCCAACATTTACTCTCATCCTAAGATATTTTCATTGATATACCTATATTTAAAATTATTTATCACATCAAGTGGATACTGTAGTATTTAATTCAGACCACCTAAAATCCAATTATTCATGTAATAAACGTATTATATTGCTAAATATGGCTCCAAAAAGAATGGTAGAGTTAAATTCAAATCTTACATACAATACATTAGAATGGTAGACTTTGCAAGAAGAATCAAAATTGTGTAGATACATTTAAAAGAAAATACTGTTTTTGTACTTCTAGTTTCAGAGGTGTTTACACTAATATGTCACCAGCCAAAGAAGGGGCAAATGTGTTAGAATGTAAATGACTAGTAAATAAATACTGGTAGTAATAACCTAAAGTAGCACACATGAGAAAAACATAGAAACTAGTACAATTAGACCTGCAATTAAAAACGTATACAATCTATACATAAAATATTTAACTTACCCTTCCCTCAAGTTCTTGTGGAAACCTATTTTGGAATTTTACAAGAGTCCCTTCACTGTAATCCCGTTGAATAAACACTTTTAAGCATTGCGATTGGGCCATTTGTTCAGTTTCACCAGCTCTAGCACCATTATGGTGATTACTCATCTTTATTTGACCTATTATGTATAAAATTATTATTAAAATTAGAAGAATTAATCTAGTTGTGATAAAAAATGTAGATCAACAAATTACATTCGACATTTTTGATTGTCCGTCATTGTCAATAATAGGAGTTGTCTGTCAAACGTTGACTTTGGCACATGTCATAGTTTAAGTGGTTCAAGTCATAGACGTAATACAGAGATATGTAAGAGAGATGGGGAGTTTCAAGTTCGTAGTTCTGTGGTTTCAATGCGCTAGAGAGAGACTGATTGAACATAGACAGCATGCCAGCCACAGTATGTAGCACCAATAGTGTAGTGTAAGTGGCATATGATAGGTGGGGAGAGTGAATTGCATAGGCCCAGCCGTTCGTAATGATGACGGCGCTACTAGTCACGTAAGGTGGGGTATGAACAAGGTTAGTAAATAGACAGGTTGTCTGGTAACTTTACACCAATCAGCGTCGAGAATCTAATGCGGGAATGACGTCACTGAGAATGCTACATTCAAATTCATTTATTTTACTCCTTGAAATGAACTCGTAAAGCAGCAATGATTGTAAATATATTAATCAACATTGAAAAAAAAAACTTTTGGACTTTTAATGACTATTTATTTCATTCAATCTTGAAAAAATCTTACACAAAAAATGTGTGAGATTAAGTACCTGCAGACTTACAGAAATCATAAAATATTATAGCAGCTGTACAACATATGTGTAATAATGTTTAACACGGACTGTTGTACATATTTATTAATATTACTTTCAGTATTACAGATTACAGTGTCCTCCTAACCTCCTAATCTCAAGTGCTTAACCTAACCTCTGCCCCGAGACCACGTGCCGCCTGTCCCATGTCATAGTCCTGTCAGGACTTTACATTTACAAGCTATTCAGTCTCATGACAATATGTAGTAGAATAGCATTACTAACTTGAATTGAATTGAAAGTAGATTCTTTCTTGTGTATATATCTGACAAAAACATGCAAATATATTATATCAATAATGGGTTGAATACAATTTACTTTTTTTTTAATTATTTTGAGTACCCAATTTTAAATTGAGGATAATGCATGTAGTGATTATAAATTCCTCCAAACAAGTTAACCTTGCTGAAAAAGAGATTCAACTAAAGATTTATATATCAGAATTAGTAGTTTTCAATTAAGTTTAATATATTTAAGAACATCTGATTACATTACTGGATTATATAAAAGAATATGAAAAATATTAAAACATTATACATAATTAACATTAAATTATAAAAAAACTATAATTTCATTGCAATAAAGGGTATTTCACCCATTTTATATATTCATTTGATTAGTAATTTTTAATTACTTTGTTGAATTAACATTCAACATCTTTAATTAATGACATTTGTAATGTTGAATATAAATGATTATTTAATGTGTTTTATTCAAAATAAAAGAAAACATCTTATTTCATGAGGTTTCAGTTTATTTACTGCTTAATAAGTATTTTACTGACTATTTGAATGACTACACCTACTTACCATCTTTTTTCAGCTTTTTAGGTTGTATGTTTAATACTTTAGCTTGTGAAGCATCCTCATAATCTTCCATGCAAAAGTGTATACTACAAACTCTTTCATTAAAACAGGACCACTTATCCTTCCTATGAAACTTGCTGATCCATTGCTTTTGAATTATTACATTTTTGAATATGTAAAAAACATTGGAATTTTTTGAATTATTTTTGCAGATTTATACACTGCAAATATTTTCACCAGTCATCTGAATCATTAAAAACATTTTAAATTCATTTTATGTTTTTCCTGAATTAATCCCAATGTTACCTTTACTATATACTTATAAGGCAGAAATAAAATCCAGTAAGACACAACCACATTAAATGTATCTTAATACTTGTATAAGAGTTTTGGGTCCAAGTTATATACTAAAAATCACTCAATGATACTTATAGACACATTATATCTCAATATATTAGCATAAATTAGAGCACTAACGATATTTAACAACAAAATATATTCTCCAAACCATTTATCCTATTCTGTTTCCAAACAATTCATAAAATTGGTGACGTCACGGTGATATATTTCATTCTGTCAAAGTCAGATTTACTATGCAACCTGTCTTTTACTAACCTTGGTCATACTTCACCTAACGTGACTAGTAGCGCCGTCGTCATTATGAACGGCTGGGCCTATGTAATTCTTTCACCCCACATGTGATATGCCACTTACACTACTGTTGGTGCTATATACTGTGGCTGGCATACTGTCTCTATGTCAATTTATTAAATTTATTATTATATGGTTCAAATATCACTGCCGTATTCTAATAGGGCGATTAACCATTGAATTTGTCTTTGAATGAACTTTCAGATCATTTAATAGTACTAGCACATCTTACTTAGTTTTTGAACTACAAAAAGATGCTTTTAACAATAATATAGGCTATTTACACAGAAAATACAGTTTTGTATTTTTTTACATCCATGTGAGTTAATAAATGCATGAATTATACTGGAAATATTCACTATAAATCATGCACTATGAAAATAGTGGAATTCATTATAAATGATTTATGATGAAATTAATCAATTTTGTTCTGTTTTTACGACAATGCTATGTTAACGGTTATACAACAGTCCATATACTTATGCCACAGAATAATAAACAATCAGAATGCTCACTCTGCTTCATCTGCTTGTAGATAAGTACGCTCATGTCGTTCGCGTAGTAGACGGAATCTATTTTGGCTCGTGTTTGTTGAGCTTGTGCCTCCCTCAGAATCCATGAGGCTGATTTTGAGGCTGAATTTGTATTTATAATCAATGTAATTATAAAATAAAAACGTCATCTTTTTTTTATTAAAGGAAGAAAGGATTCAAAAAAATACATTTTAAATCTTTAATTGTTTTATGCTCATAAAAAACATCGACAAAAATTGTAAAACATTGCCATACTATTAAATTTTATATTTATTTGTATATCTAATATAACTGACAATTAAGTTTTTACAACTAATCATGAATGATCTTGTGGTGCAATTACCGATACAGATTTAAAGATAAAAATAAAATTTAAAATCGATACAATTTAAACTTTAAAAATATACTTAGGTATATCACAAGATTAAAGCTCATACTATTATAATATATGTAAATAAATATTGAAAACATTTTTACATTTATTTATTTTTACATTGTTTATAAAATAAATAATTGTTCGACAGCTAAATTAAAGATGTTCACATTGTACTAGAAAATACAGCTTTAAGTTCCAATCAATAATTCTTCTATACGCTTGTTAAGATAAATTCAAAATATAAAATAATATAGGTACTGCTCCCCCAAAGTTAAGAGTATTGTGAGAAAGTGAAAGAAAATTAATTTTTGTATTTTGAAGTAAATAAAGACTAGCGTATCTGTTTGTCAGCAAATATACCCAATGGAAAACCAGTGGACTGGTTTTTTGTCTGGTACCTTCTTACTTTTCTTTATCGTGTCCTGACATGTCATTTATAAAATTTCGGCCTAGTATCGAGCTACGTCGGTTCCATCTTTATTGGCGAGACACAAATCTTCGAGGGTACATAGATGAGGACAGTTTCTGCATGTAAGAAGATGATCCATATTCTGTGTTTCTCCATAGTCACATCATCTTGGTCTAGTTTTCCTCATTTTGCCATGTTTGACTTTTCTGGAGCGACCTTCGTTCTTATCCTATTCACAGTTCTCCACGTTTTAAAGTCTAGGGACTGGCCGGTCCATTGAAACTGGAGAAGAGGAAAATACTCAGGCCATTCATCCTGCACTGTTCCAAGGAAACTTTGCCTGGATTTTAGTCGCTTTTATGGTGTTCAAGCTTTGGGGTTTTGGGATTTGGTCTCAGGAAATTCTGCAGGTAGTGCGCTGACATTATTTTTAAGGCAGTTTCGAGTTTCTCCTCCACTTCTTCAAAACTATTTCCTTGAGTACATATTGGAAGATCGTCAGTATAGAGGAAGTGCTTGGTTTCAGTCGGCGTAGGTTGGTCGTTTTTGTATATACTGAAGAGCATTGGTGCTAAAACACATTTCTGTGGAAGGCTTAACTACTTAACTAAAAAACGTCTGTTTGGCAGTAGGGAATATACGACCTTAAAAAGATGGTGGTCATTGCTTATCTTTTGTTGGATCTTTCCCTGCATTATCAGTTGAAGCAAGGTGTATTTCTCTCCACGTATAATATTTCCGAGACATTCTACTGTACCATAGGCTGCTTTCAAATCTACGAAAGCAGCCCCTGTTATACGTTTCCCTTTAAAGTCCTCTTCAATGTGTTCTGTTAGTGTAAGAACATGACCTGTGCAAGATTTGCCGGGTCTGAATCCTCCTTGTTGTGGGATGAGATACTTGACATTTTTTTTACTCTGGCGAGTATGTCGCTCGTTATAGTTTAAAGAAGTGACACAACAGCAAAAAATGTCTGTAGCTACTGGGATTTTCTGGGCCTTTCCTGGTTTAAACAAGGCTATTACTCTAGATTTTCTCCATGATTTTAGAATTTCACAGGCTTTGCAGCACACGTTATAAAGTTGCAAGATCCAGTTTTTGCTCCTTGGCCTAAATGCTTTATTTGTTCACTGCGTATATTATCCGCACCTACAGCTTTCCCTTTTTTTAACCTGTTTATACCGCCGTAGAGTTTTTTTAGTGTAAAAGGAGTTCCTTGGTGGTTTGTTTCCGAATCCAATCTTCTTCTAGTATTTGAGTCCTTATACAGGTTCGTAGTTTTTCCATTCATAAGGAGTTGAGCAGCGACTTGGTTTGCTGTAACCTTGCAAGGTGATTTATGTTCTTTTGGATCACCGCTAAGTTTTTATACAAGGTTTCATCCTATTTTGCTACTGTGTCATGTCTATTTTTTTCAGGGTCTAAATTCACTTTTCCTGTCTGGCTTGACTTAGTTGTTGGAGTAGTACTGCTCTGCAGTCAACTGTTTCTTGGTTAAAAGGGTCTATTTTTGTCTATTTCTATTTTTGTCTATGTCTATTTTTTTCAGGGTCTAAATTCACTTTTCCTGTCTGGCTTGACTTAGTTGTTGGAGTAGTACTGCTCTGCAGTCAACTGTTTCTTGGTT